AGCCCCAGGCCACAGTGAGGTTGGGGGTGGGGCCAGCCGGCGCTGCCAGTCGCCCTAGTGCGGCCTACGATTGGTTGGCGCGGACTAGTGGGCGGGACCTCGAGTGGGGGCGGGAAGCAGGTCCGCTGTCAAGCTCCCAGGTGCTGACCCTCATGGAGCCGCGAGGGGGAGGGTAGGTTAAATTAAAAACAAAAACGGGAGCGCTGAAGCCTGATGGGGGTCGCGAGAAAGCGGGCTAGGTGTTCTGGAAGGTAGGGCTGCGGACCGCCATGTTTGATCCTGGCAAGAAAGAAAGGATCTGCTTGGAATACCTTCCTCCTGCCCGAACTAATAAACCACGTGCCGACCTTTTGCTTTTTATTGGCTGATAGGAAATGTTGAAGTACTTAGAGTTTCTGCCCTGAAGACACATAAGTCCGAGACTTTTTTTTTTTTTAGAGAACTGTATGCAGAGAACAGGTTGCTAAATAGGGAACAATTATGGAAATGATTGAAGACGGGCTGTTATCAAGTTCTGAATTTTCAGGTGCAAAATAAAAGTGTACTAGTTCACAGACAGGGGAGATTTGTGGCGGTGGTGTCCAGAACTTAAAGGATAACCACGTGCAAACACACTCAAATATTGGCATGGCATTACTGCCACCTTGCAAATAGTGTTAGCAGCAGTGGGCCGTTTTTCACCCATAGGGCAATATGGAAAAACTCAGCTGTTTGATCATTCACACCATGAGCAGCTTGAGCTCCAGGTTAAAATTTTGTTTTTATTTTTTGCATAGAGCAAATGGTGTCAACATTGAATTGATCACAGGATAGGAAACCATGAATCAAACCATTTGCTCATCATCCATGTCCGACAAGTCGCTGGGACCAAGTTCCAAGAAGGCAGTCTCTGGAAATAGGACTGGAGGAAAAACAGATAACTATGTGCACTACTGTAGCCCCAAATATGGGCAGGGCATTGTTTATCACTTTCCTTCGGCACCCTGATTTATTCACTGAGCACTCCACCCTTTCCTTGTTTTCTTCCCCCCCCCCCCCCCATACCTGTTTTCTATTTACCTAAGCTGAACTCCTAATTTCCCTCTTCAAACCTGCTCATCTCCTTTACTGTTTCATCTGTTAGTGGCATGGTGAGCAACCACCCACTAATCCCAGCCAGAAAGAAGCCTGCAACTCATCTAGTCAAGACTCAGCCCTCCCACACCCTCCCATACAATACTGAGGTCTTTCATCTGCTTATTGCCTCATGAGATGTCTTAAACTTGCTCGCTCCTCTCCATCCCCACTGCCACTACCTGAGTCAGGCTCTCATTTCTCTCCAGAACTATTGCTGCAGCTGCCTAATTAATTGCTCTGTCCTTTGACCTTTACGTTCCCAGGCTCCTTGGGGCTGCAGTGATCTAAACGCAAATCTGAGCATGTCGCCATGTGTCTCTGCCATGGATTAGGTGGAGACAAAGCTTGTTAACCTAGAGCGCACCCAGCAGGATCTGGCCACTGCCTGACCTGCCATCTTTCTACATTTCTCCCTCCCCCTCTCTCCCATACTCTACCGTTTGGTCAAGAAGGTAAACTACCTGCAGTTCCCAAACCCTGCACTTTTTCTCACCACTGAACTTTTACTTATGTTGTTCCCTCTGTTTGGAACACTACCTGGGTAAGCACACTCCTCTTCAAAACACAACTCAGGATATACTTCCCCTAAGAAATATTTCCCGGTCTCATCCCCACCTCCTGGGCCAGTACTTCTCAAATGTTAATGTGCATATGATTCATCTAGGGATCTCGTTAAAACTCAGGTTCACATTCAGTCAGTCTGGGTTGGAGCCAGAGAGTCTGCATTTCTCACAAGTTTCTGGGAGATGCTGCTGCTGGTAGCCGACCATACTTGGAGCAGCAAGGCCCTGGGCTGGATTGAAAGCCCCTCCTCTGAGTTCCCCGGACTAACCTCTGTTATAACACTATGTCCCTGCGTTAAATATCTGCTTGGCTTTATGTGTCTCCACACGAAAAGCTCTTTGAGATTAGAACCAAGTCTTCTTTTTATCCTAGGTGCCAAGTGCATATGTGAAACGGAGCTTTTCCTGACATTTTTAACTTTTATATTCTTGTTACCACCCCCACCCCGATTTACCTTCTGATAAAGGAATGAATTTGTAACCTGAGATCTTTCAGTCTTGGAATGACTGGAAAGGAGTAAGTACTGGGTCACTTTGCATTTGTGTTTCATGTGCATGCACACATGTGTATGGGTGCACACACACACACACACACCTTTCTTCCCTGAAAGAGAAACCTACCAGACAAAGAACTGCTGACTCCAAAAGAAACCTGGGCTTGGCACAAATGCGGGGAGAGCCAGAATATACGGGTCACTCCTCCCCTTCCTTCCTGTTTTCCATACAGGAAGTGTTTTTTACAGAGGCAACTTTATTGAACAAATATTGATTGAGCACCAACTATGTGCCAAACATAGTCTCCTTACTTCATTGTTATCTCTTTCATATCCTCCTCCACCCCAGAATCTAGCCAGGCTACCC